TTTTCCAACTCATTGCCAACTATATACACATTTATAAAATTAAACTGTAACTTTTAATCATCCATTTGAAAGATGCGTCATCAATCATCATCATCAACAGCCTATCTTAGTCCACTGCTGGACACAGGCCTCTCCAAATACACGTCACTCAGATCGATCATGGGCTGGGCATAGGCCGATGCGTATAGAAGAGTCAGCCAGGTCATTCAGCATCTGTTGTAGGTCCTGCAGGCTTTCTGCCATGATGAAGATGTCGTCTGCAAATCGCAAGTGAGAGATGCGTTCGCCATTTACGTTGATGCCACGTCCTTTCCAGTTCAGCGTCTTGAACATATTCTCCATTGCATTAGTGAACAATTTCGGGGAAATCCCCTTGTCTCACTCCACGATGCAATGGTATGGGACTCGTTTGCTGATTCTGTACTTGCACAGACATGGTGGCGGCTTCTTAGAGACATCTAATCACTTGGATATTTCGCCAGTCGACTTGGCAACGCTGCAAAGACTCCAGGACAGACGAGATTACAATCGAGTCAAAGCCTTTCTCATAGTCCACAAATGCTAAGCACCGGGGCTGATTGTACTCTTCAGTCTTCTGTATAATCTGCCTCACTGTGTGAATGTGGTCTATGGTGCCGTTTCCGCTCCGAAACCCAGCCTGTTACGGTTGTTGGAAGACATCAAGTCTTCGCGCAAGACGGTTCGCGATTACTCTTCAGAACAGCTTATAGACGTGGCTTAGAAGGAATATGGGTCGATAGTTCTTAAGTTGGGTCTTCTCCCCCTTTTTAAAGAACAAGACGACCACACTTCTACTCCACGCCTCCGGAGTTCTCCCTTCGAACAGGACAGTGTTGAAAAGCTTTTGGAGCTCCCTCGGTACGGATAATAGTAAAAAAAGAAAGATGCATAAAAAAAGGGGGAAAAAAATTTATCATCTATTGTGCTCAACCCTGACATTGGTAGGATTGCCCAAGTAGACATTAGCCAGCCTTTACAAAAAATAGAATAGTAGTTAAAGCGTGATTGAGTAACAAACATACAAACACACACTGTAACATTTATAACATTAGCAGCATTATTAGGACTAGTATATTATACTAGCCTAAATTTTAACTTCTTGAGAAAAATTAAGGGATATCTAAAGAATATTTTTACAATAAGAAAATCTAGCGATTAACAAAAATTTTAGTTTAGTGTCGCCGCACACGGGCCACACTCCACAGCCACAAACGCCGCCATGAGAAGCTAGAAGCTAGAAGTGGCTGAAGCGCGCGACAGCGGCCGAATAAGGTAAGGTAAGGCCGCCACACGTCACTCGCGCGATTCCCCAGGGGTGAGGAATCGCGCGAGTGACGTGTGGCGGCGTTTTGTATCGGCGCATTATGTGGCCGGTGAAGGCCACAAGAAGCGAGCAATGACGATTTGTAGCGTGTGGCGGCCACCGATGTACCGTGTGTGACGAGTCCATATAAAATGTATGAAAACTACAAGAAATATGCCGGTGGCGGCGTTTTGTGGTTATGGTCGGTGGTCCGTGTGCGGCGACACTTAGAAAAAGAGCATTGGACTGAATCATCACATTGATTTTTTTTATAGTTTTAATTTTTATTGTGTTTTTACTATTACATGTTTTTTGAAACTAGTTACAATAAATATTATAGTTACATGTTATATTTAGAGCTGGTTTACTCAATATGTAGAGACATCTCTATAAATATGCTTACAAATATTGAGCAATATACAGATCAATGGCATGTAGTGATTGATAAGGGCTGTTCTCTCTGTGAGCATGAGTCACAGATGCATTTATTGGCAAGCATCGATATCTGTTTGTTTATGCCGGCTTCCGACTGCATTATTCATGGGTAACCACTTACGTATCAATCTCTGTACAGTCGCGGAACGGAAAGACTGGTCATTTTAAGGTTAGTTTTTTTTATAGCGAGGTAGGCAAATGACTCTACCCCACCTGATGTTAAGTGGTAATAAAGTCCAAACGCGAAGATAGCTGGCACAGCAGTTATAAAATGCGACACCTACAATCCTCCTTGCCGGCCTGCAGAAATGCTTCTTCACATCTCTCTTAAAGGAAGGAGGAAAAACGTGCGCGGGTAAAGAATTCCACTTACGATTAGTACAACAAAGAAATGAGTCACCAAATTTCTTTGTACGTGTAGGAATAGTTTTTGCTTGTTCTAGTGCAAGAATACATTATGCCAATTATGATAATTTAAATTAATTGACATGAAAAACTAGAGAGAATGAGAATTTATGAAAAAGGTTGAACAGGATAAATATCACTGCAGCCAAGGCGTGCTGCACGGTTGTAGGTTTTAGTTCATCAAAACATATGAACCTATAACAATTTTCATATAACTACAAGACAAGTAGTGAATAACTCTAAATCTAAAGAAAAGTTTACTAGAAAAAAATCCCACGCGGATCAGGCAGCAGACAGGACTCGAACCTTCGCTATCCGGGTGAATGCACTGACCACTATGCTACCGCGGCCCTGACGGCCGTGTCAAATTTTTGTCTAGCCTTAGGCTGCAAGACAGCGCTATCTCTTCGCATTGCAAAAACAACAACAAAAAAACATAACTCTAAATCTATATGGAATTTCAACAAACTATCAGTTGGGCATAATTTTCTATGTAATAGTCGGTTAGTGACCAATTTTCAACAGAAAAAATAGGCTCTCAGCTCGTTGAACAAATCTGTTTAAAATCTGACTAACGTTTTCAAAAGATTACTGTACATAAAATTCTAGAGCGATCAATGTCCCGTACACATTATAGTATTCAAGTATTTCGGGAATTCAAGTGATCATTACTTTTGTTATCGGTAGATCTGACTTATGAACAGACAAATGTGGGAAATAGGTGAGGTGAGGCATTGGGATCAAAGCAATAGGTTCAGCGAGTACTGTTTTTCAAGTGTTTTGGCAACTTCTGATAATTTTATACGGACAAAAGTCGTTGTGGAACATCTTGCATTAAAATACCTATTACCTTCTTGTGTGTCATAAAGACAAATAAAACGAAGCAAAAACCTATTCTTCATGTTGAAAAAATCATAACAGAGCATATCCCATACATGAGGGTCAAACAGTCGTGACAAGACAACGACAATCCATTTATTTAAAAAATAATTATTTTAAACACTATTTTTATTGAATTAGGCCGCGTTGTTTCACACATAGTTAAATTTGAATAAAGTTTAAATACTATAGAAAAACTTTAATAATCGAGTAGGAGTGGGATGACAATAAATAATCTTAACCTGAATTCATGTTTGAGAGATATTTTATTGATTCAAAGTAAAAGAGAGACGGAAATTATTCTCCTTTCTTTACTTTCTTTATTCAATTCAATAGCATAGTTTATTGAATACTTTCGCTTTAACTGGTACTAAAACTAAATCAATGGAGTACTAAGTCGACCCTCAACAAAATTGTCAAGTACCATCTTACTAACTTACTAACCTATTTTAGACTAATATTCAATTTAAAGTTTTCTCCAAGTTTATTTACGATTAAATCTAAAGTATAGCTTTTTGTTGTTTTTATTGGTTTGAAATAATATACTCCAAAGTTAAATTAATTAAGTAGTTCCCAACTTCGTTATTTAATAGATTCGGCTGGCAAAATTATGCCAACTTTCTCCATTAGCTGGGACAAATGGAATGTTTCAAGTATGATTTTTCTACATAAAGTTATTGTTAGTAAACTAAGGTAAAAGACAATCCAAAAAAATGACTTTCTTTGTACTCAACTATTATTTACATACAAAATAAATGTTGTAATTTAGATGCAAATAACTTAATCACAGCTTTACCTGGATGTTTTTTGTTATCGCATAAGAAAAATGTGAAATGAAAATTTCTGTATCAATTTCAGCTTGGTTCACAACAAATATTTACGCACCGTGGAAACCCTGGCTCGGGTTAGTTAAGAAAATAATCACTATGGCGAAAACTCGCCTGGAGCTTTGAAAATGTCCCTTTATTTAAATCAGAAACAAACTCTAATGAGATGTGGATACATATTAAGTGCTTGATTACCTGTTCAAACGAAAAGTCACACTGTTTAAGTTTAGTACTATAATAATAATAATAAATCGTTTACTTATATTGGTAATAATTATAATGTCATTGTCATAACATAGCCATTTGTTTATTTTGCACCTATCTAACCGTAATAAATAATTTAAATTTTTATTAATGTAATATTGATAATGACTACGTTACAATTTTTAGGGTTCCGTAACTTAAAGGAAAAAAAGGAAACCGTATAAGATAACTTTGTTATCCACTCATCCGCTTGTCTGTCAAGACCCCTTATCTCGAGAATGCGATAGTATCGAGTTGATATTTTAACCATATATTCAGACAGAACTACGGTTCCTTGAAGCTGTGAAAAAAAATCTAAGTGCATGAAAAAAATGTATATGTCCAATTTATTGAATCTAGGTGAGGTGCTAGCAATACGTTCTCTGAATATTGTTTTTTTTCTATTGTTTTTGCCGCCGTTTTGCTGGAGTCGATTTTTTTTGTATGAGAAGTCGAGACCCTCATGAACAGACCAAATAATAATAATAATATTTGTTTTCACGCACATCATTAATTAAATAAAACTACTTTTAACGGGTTAACAGACCTGAAAAGGCTGCGTAACGTCATTAAATAAATACAGTTCGTGCATTAACCCGTTAAAACTAGTTTTATTTATTAATATTATTTTTTATTCATCAAACCTTACAAGTACTAAATGTGCTTGATACATTGTTCCTAGTGTGTAGTAATATTGGGAAAATGCTTTTAAACCAACTCATCATCATTCATTTGTAAGAGTATTCTTTCAGTTGAAAGAGATTTTTCAAATGAATAAAATGCCTGGGTTTGGTTGAATGGTTTCAAACCGGACATAAGTAGTAACAACTTTTGTAGAAAACGAAAATATTTTTGAAGTTCGTCTGATAGGTATACAATATACATACCCCACTGTGCCGTTGTCCAGGTTCTGTAGGTGCTTGTTGAGGGTCTCCTTGATGTTCTGCTGGGAGTACAGACCAATCGGCGAGTTGAACTGCTTGTGCACTATCTTAGGGCCGGTGGCCATCTTGGAGTCGTTCGTTCAGCGCTGGAATTTGGAGAAATTTTATTGTTAATTACTATATTACATTTTGAATGGAGCTCGATGGCTTAGGTGGTGGCGCGTTCGGCTGCGATCGTTGAAGATAAGCAGCTTTCGCAGTGGTCGGTCATTGGATGGGTGATCAAAAATCTTCTATCTCGAGTCCCTCCGTGAATCGGAAGGCACGTTAAGCCGTTGGTCCCGGCTGCATCTGCAGTCGTTAGCACCCGCCAATCCGCACTGGGCCCGCGTGGTGGGTCATGGCCCAATCTCCCTATTCCATTCATAGGGAAGGCCTGTGCCCCAGCAGTGGGACATTAATAGGCTGATGATGATGAAGATGATTTTGAATGGGTCCGAAGTATTTATTGCTGTTCGTTTTCACTAGTGCAAACTATTTTTTGGGGACGAAAGTAATCGTATCGTTACTTTAAAAATTCTATGGAAAAGCTAGTTTGTTCTTACGTCCGGTGGTCCTGCTTAGTTTTTATAGAAAGCTTGACGTTGGCGATACGAACACGCGTCTGTCAAAGTTCGTGCTTGTAGCGCGATTATTCATCCAAGCTGCTTGTACATTTTACGAAAATATTCATACCTATTCTATTTTCCTACCGCTGCGCTATCAACGTTAAATTATGTGTGGTCAGTTTTTTTATTAGTTTTGGCTTTTATTATTTACTACCAGCTTTTTAAGTAACCTTTTATTCAGGTTTTAAATTAAGACGTATTTTTTAAACTGATGTAAGTTATGATCAGTTTGAGAACTTTCCACAATCACACTTTTAATTTATTAACCTTAATGCTAGTAACAGTAGCTCATACAAAGTCACAACATTGGTTTATCAAACTAGTGTTTACAGCTAGTTTGAGAGTTATAAAATTTACGACCCTTCACTACACGGAGATCCGAATCTTTTAATGGCACAATAAAGACATAAGTTCATGGTCATTATGATGATATTAATAAGGTGCATTTATATAGGGAAATAGTAAAGCATGTTTCACCATTATTATGTTTCTTTGCATTTGTAACCGTTTACATTATATAATTATTTATTTAATTTACTCATGATGTTTATCAGTCTTGATATTTTTGACCAGATTTTTTCGAATGTTTCGGCAAAGGACAAAGTACTAAACTCAATTTTAACGGGACAATCCGTCTCATAATTTTTCTTCACTCCATTCTATTTTCCTGGTCTAATAATTCATTATTTTAAACAATATCTTCCTTCTGCCACTAATTTGTATACCAGACGTAAGTATAGATTTTTAAGAGAGGTACAGCATAGCGGATTTCCCGCTCGACTTGGAGCGCCCGCCTGGGGAAGGTACCTTCACTTTACAGGATCACAGTAAAATAACACTACATTTGGTGATGTTGTGTTTCAGTCACTATTTAAGTTTCCAGGGCTCCAGGAGGTAGATTGGGTCATGGTTAGGGTTACTATTTAAAAATTTGAAAAGTCCTGACAAAAAGTCCGGACATTTTAGTCAAAAAATGCAAACATCACCCTCTTAGTTACAGTGATATTATACGCCTGGTAGCAGACGCTCGCATCGCGAGAGGGGTCTCGTTGTTGATTTTCAAAGATGATTTATATTTTGTTTTAAATTAATGAGAACTTACTAAATATTATTTGATTTGATATAACTTAATAAGTAGTTTTACTCATATTCAATCTAATTAAAAAAATCCGGACAAATTAAAAAGCCGGACAAAGTCCGTACAAAAAGAAAAAAGTCCGGACATGTCCGGACAAATCCGGACGGACGGTAACCCTAGTCATGGTAGCCAACAGCGCGAATGATATTTTGTGTATTGCAAGCGTCATAGGCTATGGTGGCCAAAAAATCCGGACAAATTCAATCAGGCCGGCCAGAAACTAGTTTGCCACCCTTTTAACATAAAAGTATGAATGTTCATGCTATGCTAACCGCTCTCATATAAATGTTATGCGTATAAATGTGTTACTTTTCTTCCTGAGCATTAGTCATTTTACATCAACACGTATCTAGCTTACATTGTCAGGTAGCAGTGTAATAAATGTTACCGTGAAATTTATATAGGGCGGGAAAAATTGCATGTTATTTTCTTGCAGCAAGCGACCTAAGGGTGACGAGATTATCTCGGTGGGATAATTTTATTACTCCCGTTAGATTCGCGCCGAAGGGGAGGCGTGCCGACGAGATCACGAGACGTTGAGAAGGCTTATTGCCTTTTTAGTATCGGCTGTTCCGTGACAAAACCTATATCTTGTACAATAAAACAAAACATACAGGTAATGGGCTCTTATTGACATAAAATTTATTCTCGGTAGGTTTGACCACGGTATGACCCAGTTACAAATCGATAGTAAATGTGTTTTAAAACCTTTTTTTAGAAGATAACTATATATAAATACGTGTTAGACGTATCCTATTGTCTTAACACAAATTAGCTTTGATAGGAACGGAGTAAAAATAATTTAAATATATGGATTTTTCGCCGCTGTACCGAGTCCACCATTGACTTGCACCATTAATTATGATGCAGATGAAACTGACATGATGATGATTATTTATGATGATGATATTATTGGTGCAAACGCTAGTTTCGTTTGCACCAATAATATCATCGTCATAAAAAAATATGTTGAAAACACAAATGAATGCCGAATAAACGAAGAAACTCGAAAACCACGATTATGTGAAATATAAGTTTCACTCATTGTTATTACGAAAATTTACTCCAGTTTTACAATTATGGTGATGATAATAAACACGCGAAGAGAAATACCTCATTATAAACCCGATTTTATAGTAGGTATATCTAAGTTTCATCACAATGGTGCAGATGACACTATCTATAGATACTGTGGTTCGTTTGCCCCATTAACGGTGCAAACAAAACTTATCAGTTTCATCTGCACGATTGTAATGGTGCAAGTCAATGGTGCATTCGATACAAGGGGGATTTTTGTTTTTGCTACAATCTTACATATTTAGAAGACTTTTAGGGTGAAAATTTGTCACTTATTTAGGTTTAATTAAACAGTGTACATAACAATTCTCCGCATTTTACGTTTGATATTTAATAGAAATAGGCTTTTGATGATGACTATAATCATTGACTTAACCAAGAGATTTACATTAATGGTGTGTTCTTCTATCATCTCTTTTCTACTTATATGTTTTCCAGAATAAAAGATAGGCAAGTTATTATGTAACTGTCGTTTTTATTAACAGGCTAAACAAATTTGGTGCGGGATACGGACAGACTCAACTTGAGAGCAACATTATACTAAATAAGGGCACATATTTAAATGATCATCAAAAATAGTAATTGTTCCTCAAAAAATACAATATCGGTAACCATCATCAGGTGATCATTAATAATTTTGTTTAAGGATCATGTAAATATTTCCCCTTTTCAATATTTTTTTTCTGTTAACGTTCAGTATCACAATATCTGTAAGCGAGAGTTAATATATTTTTAGTGAGTGGTTTATTTACGCATAGTTGCGAAACGGACGCGGAAGATTCTTGGATGCTCGTGTGTTCTCGAATTAGCTGACGCTTCATAGGTAACAAGCACAACAAAACGTTATTTAAAATTATTTCTTAGTTTCATATAATACATAAGCATATTTTGTTTTTATGCGGTCTGTGTTATTGTTTTCGACAAATTCGACGTATCACTTTATTTAATTTGTTTTATTTGATGTAAACAAAACTGCTTTACTATTCTTAGGCCCACTTGCACCAAATATATAAGTAATATGAATTTTAATAGTTAAAAAGCACGAAGTGATGTGCTAAACTTTTTTATTATACTGCCGTCCTAAAGCTAAAACGCGGCTAAATGACACAACCAACTTTTGAGATATCCCCAAAAAACTGTTCGTAAACTTAAAATGATTGCTATTTTGTAACTATTCAGCACACGACGGATTTTTAGACTTAAACTATAAAAGATACGAATACTTGTTAAAGACAGATCGATAGAGTATTAAAAACTATATAAGATGCAATTTAGGGCTGAAAAATCGACCACATGTTACTTAGCTGCACTTTAGTTTGAGAACGGCAGTATATATATAAACAAGCGTATGGCCCGCCTGCTGGTAAGTGGCCACCACAGCTTATAGACGCTTGGACCTATATACCCAAAACATCTCTCGCACCTTTGCCTACCCTGACCTAATCCCCTATCCCGTGGAGTCCTGGAACCCTACTCATCAACGGAGACACAACTCAACAAAAGTTAGTATTATTTTACTGTATCTGTTAATCTTCTGTAAGGTAGAGATTACTTGCTCAGACGGGCTCCAATTCGAGCGTAAAAGCCGCTATGACGCGCTGTATCTTATAGAATTAAGCTTAAATTTGAATTGATAAGGTTAGAATTTTTATTTTTTAAGCATGTTACTGCTCAATATTTAAATCTAAAGAAAATATTACTAGAAAAAAATCCACTCGGACCAGGCGGATAATGTTGCAACAACAAGTGGCGCTATGTTTATTCGATTATTAATTATCAATGATAATTCTATAAAGTTAAGGAGATGACTGTTTCTTAATTAATACACACATCAGAAAAGTCTTATCAACACGCATCATTTACAGAAACTATAGCTATGTTTTATTAATTGATTTAAAATATGATTATTAGTAAAGTAGATTGGTATAAAAACAAATTTTGTTCTCGAAAGTAATTGGCTGTTTAAAAATAAAAACTTTCCGATTGTGTTTACAAATAATATAGTGCAAATAAATTACAATAGCAAAAATAGTTGAAAATTTCAAAACCTGTTGTTGCTTAGACTTTTTTGATGTTTATATTTTAAATCTTTTGTAAAGCGATTGGAAAGACGTTAATGGCTCTTAGGGCGATAACATTATTAACATGGATAATATCACTTAATTCTACCATCTTTCCGGTACATTAATCTTACGTTAAAATTGCCGCACACCGGTTATTACGTTGCGATATTTTTTATGTTTAGGTACTTTTACTAATCTCTTGATACTTAAGGTATGACATTAATGAATACAATATGATATACGAATCGGAAACGTATACCAAAATACAGATAAGCACAAACAAGTCTCGTACTTCCGATGATTGTAAATTGAAGAGAAATAAACAAAATCTGTGTAAATATACAAAAAGAGAGTTATATAATAATATTACAAAGTTACAGAAATAAATTGGTTTCTCTTATCATCATTTTATCAGCCTTTTATGAGCGGATCCTTAATAAGCCGAAGATAGGCAACAACGACAAACAGAAAAATTGCGAGTAACAGGCAATAAACTTAAAATGAAAAAGATAGAAATGAATATAAATGAATCTACTTAAAAATTCCGCTACCCGGAGTGCCGGAACAAAATCTTTAGGTCGAGGTCAACTCTTCAAACCACAAAATGTCACGATCCGCCCATAAATAGGTCTATTTAATTAAGAAGCGACATAGCCACTCATTATTGGTTGAAGTATGATTGTATTCCTCATTTTTAAGTTATAATTTAGTGCTGATTTTAATCGCTGATAAATGCCTAAACCTATTTTCTTATCTCTTAAAAATTATTTGTGTAGGTATTTTTCATGTTATCTTTTTCAAAATATGATGTTTAATGTGCTATGTGTATATAAAATCCCGTTAATTCTTAGAAATTAAGATTAAAGCTTGTGTTAAAAATGAATAACATCGGTAAGATCGATGACATTCGCTTCAATACCGAGTTGTATAAAACTGTTTAGCTGGATATTAATGACTAGAGAGTCATTAATATCCAGCTAAACAGTTTTAAATAAATAACTTTTATTATCGTAATAGAAGTTATTTACGGGATTGTTACCATGTACCTTGTTTTTAGCGAGTTTCCGATATTTCGGCACTGTTGCAAGCGCCATGATCACGGAGTAACTGATAAATAACTTATACTATAAAATTTATTGGAATGAAAAAGATTTCCTGAGCTTCACGGGGTAAGAGATGGGGTCAATATACGTAACGTGGGATTGAATATAGTGAACATCGCAAACTTTCATCAGCATAATTGGTCAGTGCATTCGCCCGGATTGCGAAGGGTGCGGGTTCGAGTCCCGTCTGCTGCCTGGTCCGCGTGGAATTTTTCTAGTTATATTTTCTTTAGATTTAAACATCAAGCAGTTACATGTTTTAAAATAATAGAAATTATAAGTCGTAATAAGTTGAATACGATTTTATTAAAAAATGTGAAAGTTTTAATTAGTGCGAATTATTTTGATTATATTATGGTACCTTCAGAATCGATGTCGTCTTAATTATATGTATAATACGTTAGGCAGCTTTATATACATTTTATCAAAGCAAAATAATCTTAAAACAATTATAGATCAGATATAAATAAATATAACGTTTGTTTTAAATAAAATATATGAATACCGTTGCGTTGGGATCCGACATTGACCTACGGCAGTGAGGTCATATGCAAAACCATCACGAGAAATCGTGGAATATCGTAACACATTTATGAAACGAAATGGGAATCTTTAACTTTCTACTCATTATTATTTTAGCTTTAACCAAATGTTTTATTTCAAAGTAAATTTTCATTTATTCAATGAACTGATTATGTTTGTAGCAGAATAGCAAATCTATAGATTGCTATTCTGCTACAAACAGAAGAATTGGTTAAGTAAGTATTCTTGTTTTAGATGAACAATGCAATGAAATTCATTCGGTGAAGTTTTAAGGTTAATCGAGTTGTTTTTAGCGAAACAAGGTTAACAATACCGTCATCAAGGTTGGAAATAATCCCGCAGTGTAATCCAGACACGCCGTACGGGAATAGCTTTCCTCTATTTATAGTTTTATCTCGGTGTACAGTCAGTTGCTAATTGTAAAGACGCAAAAAATGCAATTCACGTCTAGAATTTACACAGGTGATTGATACCAATCACATTTTAATATTTATTATTCAAATCCGTTCCGAACTTTCACTGATGACAATGTTTTGATTATGATTTTTAAATTTGAAAGTTTGTTTATAGTTTCATAATCCTATTGTCACATCGATACTGATAGACATTATCGTTGAAACATCATTATACCAGAGATCAAGAATACGTGCATGCAAAATCATTTAGCGCTGGAGTGGTCCCGAGCGGAACGGTCGGGTTATTTCAGTACGATGAAGTCAAGATTATTTTTGTAACCGAACACCTTCGCCCGTGGAATTAGTCATGGCTGCTGATGTCGCCAGGTGATTAGAATGTGAAGGTGGCATAGCGTTTATTAGTGCTGTTAGGATGAAGCTGAGCATATGGTTGTGTTTTTGTACCTTGTGCGGCGGGTCGTGCGAGCGGCGTGCTTGCCTGTCTCTAACTGAGCGCGCGGCCGCCGCCCACGCCAGCCGTCGGCTTTCCGCCCTCACCTTTGGGCGCCGTTTCAACCGCCCAACAGGTGGTGAGCGCGAAAAGTCAAACTTTGTTAACATTGACCGAGTAAAGCTAAAAAGAGTTTTCTAATAGGTCATTTGCGCTTGTCATTTCCAAATTATTCATCTAATTCAATTATACAACAAATATGTTTCTCAAAAAATTGTGTTTTCAGTCAATATGCTTTTCCGAATTCGGTAATAAATTAAATTTTTGGATCTACAGGATTCCCAAATGACGCCAAAAATTTGGTATGTTTTCAGATTTTATTGTTTTAAACTTTCATGTACAAGGTACATGGTAGCAAACCCGCTATAATTTTAATATTCTTCTTTACTATTAAACGAACAGGTACAAAAACACATCCCAAAGTTTTGTAACATTCTTTAAAGATTTTTCGTGAGTTTAATTTTTTTAGCGGTAATATAAATGTTAAAATACGATACCGATCATACCGTATTTATAATACAATCCTTTAGGCAAATCCTTGAACTTCACACTATTTTGAAATCCACGATTCACAAAGTAACAAAAAAGACTGTCCGACACGACTCCTTGTCTACAAATGAGTCCATATCGCTTCCTAACACGAAGCCAACGAAATTTTAATTCAGTTTATTTTAGTGTCATGGTTATAGAGGTTGACCGTTTACCTTCTTTTTCAATAACAACTCAAGAAGGTTGTTGAACCTTTTTCCGAATTTCACTATTCACACAAGATTAGAATATTCTGTATTTAAAATTTCGTTGGCAGACGCGTTAACGTATCGTCCGTACGGGTTGGTATTTTTCAGTACTTTCGCACTTTTTCGCATTAGTAGAATTAAACAACTTTATCAATTAAGTTATAAAGTTAAATCCGTCGGGTCATACATAGGCTTGCATGCAACGCTCTTAACATAGAAAAAACTTGGTCGACTTTTGGTTTTAAATTCGAACAAACATTTTGCCTGGAAATCAAGACAAGATTCGAAAGACCTTCTTTTGTCTGGATAAAGATAATTAAGTAGATATGAAATTAGGTGCGTGAATGCGATTCTTTAAGAGCCTCTTAGTAACTATATTCAGTTACGGTCCTCACACACTATTCTCTCACATAAATACATAATGTGAACATTTTCGAGAAGACTTACCTGAACAACCAAGTTGGAAACTGATCTCATACCGCTTCAGTACAAAGTGTAATGCAGAGTTTCATATTTCAATGACGTCGTGTTACCTTTCTGAATTTGTTAGGCATCCATCCATGTTTAGTTTGCCAATGCATTAATATTGTTTTAACGTACAATAAAACACACAATGTCTGTTACATCGTTTAAAGATCTTAGAGATAGAATCCATTCACCTAATGCACAGACACAATAATGGTGGTCGATTTATTTATTGGGCTTGAATTTTTTTTTGATACAATTTATGAATCAATGTAGGGCATTTTAATAGACGAGTTTTTTTTAGCCAGCAACATGTGGCTAATTACCCACATTATTAATGAATTATGTTTTTTTTCATTCTGATTTATAAATCTAAAGGATTTTTTTACTAAAAAAATAATCCACTCGTTCCTGGTATGAGACAGGACTCAAACCTGCAGCTTCCGCAATCCGGATGTAAAATATTGCAATTTGCTTGCCCTATATTTTACACTCATATTTTATACGAAATGGGTCAGGGGATGTTGCGACTACAAAAAAAAAATGCCACTTATTCAAAGTTGCCTAGCATCCAGACTATTTTTGCAAAATTTGTCAGTCAAGGTTTTGCTCTAGATGCGAACCGAATAAACTTTATTATATACAACTCCGATGTTGTAAATGTACCATTAGAGAACGATTTATTTAGAAAAATATATACATACACCATACCGCATGAGATACAACCCGCGGACAGATGAACGAACGTACGGACGGACAGGTTTCCGTTGTCACCCTTTGGTTAATCGTCCCTAAAAATATTTAAATTTCCATTCATTAAAACTGTAGTGTGTCTACAGTATATGAGACGAAAGCCAGATAATTGTAAGGGAAAGTTAATACACGAAACAAACCCAATGATAGTTGTTCTAACTCTGTTTATTTGCATGTAAATTCAATATTATAGGATAGCTTAGATTGCGAAATACCGCGCGTAAATGACTTAAACATAATTGTTTACACGTAACCTAAATTAGTACAATAGGTCGCTGACTGAACATATTAATTATTTATTACCTAAACTGTACGATTACTCGTACAAAAAGAATTTGTTTCAGTGTAGTGATTCACATTTATTCATTGTATTTAAATAATGACACGATGAGTTATCATTCTATTTTAATTATAGAACAAATTGCATTCATGTAGTCTGTGAATCATATGATGTTCTGATTACTAATGTCTATTGGAGAAGATCGTAAATATTAAATGCACGTGTTACAAATCATAATAGTGAAAAGGAGACTGCTCAGCTTCGATACATGTTTGGCCTAGAGACCAATAATCATAAAAAATTGTTTCCTAGATTCGAAATTATATATAAATTACTGTAGAAACGAATATTATTGACGGACACCCCTGAGAACTTCTATAAACCATATACACTGAATGTTTTGGAGGTTGTTTGCAAATAAATAGGTATATAGGTATTAAAATAATAAAAAACAAATAAGTAACGAAATTATGTATTAGATTCAGGTATATAAAGCATGTAGATTAATAGATAGTTGCCTGTTTTTAAAGTTAATGCAGAAGAGTAACTTTTAAAATCAGGTATCATCTATGCATTTCCGGTTATAATAAGGTACTCTGTGACAGAAAATGTGTGTTATATTTTGTGAATGAGCCACAGATTAGAGAGAATTTTTAACTCTCGTTAACTAAAGAAAGCTTATTATTTTTGTTATGTTTATATTATAACCTAATTTTAGATTTTTAGTGTATCACACCTTATAATGTGTTATGGAGGTGTTTGGCGAAAAATGTATGGCAATAGACTTTACGATGTCGCCTACCATCTATAATATTTGTCTTAGCACATTTGCATGTAGTAAAAATGATAATATACTTGTGGATGTTAAATACCACAGTGAAAGATCTTTACATAATAGATTTGTTTTGATGTTATATAAACAACTTCGATCACTCTTTGGCTGAATGTTACTATACCTATAGCCAATAAAAATGATTCGAATGTTTCCCAAACCGGTAAAAATAAAAGTCCTTTTTAAAAAGAATATATTATACAAAGGTGTCCAATAAAATCTAATGACTGTAAAATAAAGTATAAATTACGCCAAGAATTACCGTATATGTCAATATTTTTTGTACATTTAGGCCAATTTGAGCAATCTCCTTTTATTCATCATCATCGTCAGCCTAATAATGTCCTCATTGTCGGGGCACAGGGCTTCCCTATGGATGGAATAGGGAGAGTGGACCTTGACCCACTACGTGAACCCAGTGCGGATTGGTGGGTGCTAATGACTGGTGGAGTTGTAGCCGGGATCAACGTGCACGCAGGAACTCGAGATAATAAATTTTTGGTCACTATCCAATGAACGACCATTGCGATAGTTGCTTAACATTCATGATCGCAGGCCGAATGCGCTAACCACCTGCCTCATTGAGCTGCTCAACATTTTATTGCGACTAATCAATTTAACATCTCAGCCGTACGACGCCCACTGCTAAGCATAGGCCTCCGCCAAGGATCTCCATACCGATCGGACCTGTGCCACTCGCATACATCGGCTTCCCGCGACCTTCGTAAGATCGTTGTTCCACCTCGCAGGGAGCCTGCCCACCGAGCATCGACCGGCGCGTGGTCGCCTTTCAAGAACCATTCCACCCTAACGGCCATCGGTTCTTCTTGCTACGTGTCCTGCCCATTGCCACTTCAGCAGAGCAATCCCTCGAGCGATATCGGTTACTTTGGTTCTCCTACGGGTTTCCTCATTTCTGATTCTATCACGTAGGGAAATACCGAGCATCGCTCTCTCCATTGAGCGCTGTGTGACCTTGAGCCTCCTTATGGGACCCGCAGTAAAGTACCACATCTCGCTTCCGTAGGTCATCACTGGCAACACACACTGGTCAAAAACTTGTCTTGAGACACTGAGGTAATTTGGTTGCAAAGATTTTCCGTAGCTTCTCGAACGCTGCCCATCCAAGCTAGATACGACGAGAGATCTCTTTCTCAAAGTTGGACTTACCTAACTGGACTGTCTGTCCTTAGTAAACGTAATGGTCGATAACTTCAAGGGTAGTCTTCCCAGTTTTAACTGGAGCTGGTACTAAATAGGCATTCGACATAATTTTCGTCTTATCCATGTTCATCTTAAGACCCACTTTTTGGGAACCACTCGAGGTCTTGGACCATCGTGTTAAAATCTTCCAAGGTCTCAGACATAGGAACTAAATCATCGGCGAAACGAAGGTGCTAAAGTTACTCGCCATTTATGTTGATGCCTCGTCCTTTCTAATCCAGAAGCTTGAAGATATCCTCCGATGCAGCTGTGAACAGTTTCGGAGATGTCACATCTTCCTGCCTCACGCCACGTTGCAGATGGATAGGATTTGAGCTCTAGTTCTGTTATCGAACTGACATAGAGGCGTTTTCGTAAACGTACCTCAAAACCATGACATACCTGTAGTCTACTTGGCACCTTTGGAGAGACTGTCCGCCCGGTCTAAATTAAACTGAAGGCTTTCTCATAGTCCACAAACGCCAAGCAAAGTGGCTCTTCGGTCTTCTGTATAACCTGCGACAGCGTATGAATATGGTCTATGGTACTGAAGCCTTCTCGGAAACCGGCTTGTTCGGGAGGTTCGAAGTCGTCAAACCTGCGTGCGAGACGATTCGCAATGACTGTCAAAAACTGTCAAACTCTGCCCCATGCTTTCAGTGTTCCGCCTTCAGGTATGATCGAATTAGAAATCTTCTGGAGGACTTTGAGTATCGGCTTACCGCCTGCTATCAGAAATTCTGCTGTGATTCCATCATCGCCCGCCGCCTTGTTGTTTTTAACTTGTTTGAGACTTACTTACTTATATATTTGGTATAGTGTCGTGTAAGCTTGGCTCTGAGGTCTCTAGTCTTACTTTCAACGGGTGCTTGCGTGGAATATAGCTGTCCATAGAAACTCTCGATCTCCCTCAGGATTTCAGCCTTAGACGAAATGATGCTACTGCTGTCAGTTTTCAGCTTCGTCAGTTGGCTTTGCCCAATAGACGGACCTCTCGCGAAGACTTTGGAGTCTTTGTTGCGCTCGATAGCATCTTCGATGCGATCTGTATTAAATCGGCTAAGATCGCTCATCAGGGACAGTGATATCAGTCTATTTAGCCGCCGCGCCGGTACTGACTTGCATCTCCTGAATTCTGTTATCTTTTTTCATTTCGCTGTTTCATGAGTAGGAGAGTTTTGTCAGAAAGTTTCTTTGTTTTGGTATGGTGTGCTTTAAAATACGTAGGCCCTACCGTACGGACAGTGTTGTTCAGATCGTCAACAACTTAGCTGTTTTCAAGGGATTTGAAGCGGTTTTGAAGTTCGAGTTGAAAGCTCTCGGGGTTTTGTAGTTGTGCAGGCATTGTTCGGAGCATAGACTCCATCATTCGATATCTGTCGAGCTTAGTATTGATATGCAATGTACATACCTCGTACTAACCGGTGATCACTTCCCGTTTTGACGGCGTTGATCACAGAGACGTCATTGAATAATATCTTTTTCGTCGACATGGTACAGTCGATCTCGTTTTTCACTCATCAAGGTCCATTTTCGATGTTGGGGTTTTATGAAGAAGGATCATTTAGAGATTCTCCTTCTCCATAAAATCTACAAACATCGGTCCTCTGGTGTTCGGATGCCTTTTTGACTATTCAATCAGTAAATATTCTTGATTACGGCCGGCCTCGGAGTCGTCACTAAAAGTTGACTGAGCGAAAGTGGTTCAAGAACCAATACCGATACCGTTGTGGTATTTATTTAGAGGTTCATTACCTATACTTAAATTCAAAGGAGCATCAAAATCTGACCTGACGATTTTGAGAAAAATTACACTTTACAATGGGTACATATATGTTTTTTGATAATAAGGAAATTTTTGACCGTATTTACTTCTATTTTTTTCTGCTATAGATACAGACACATAATACCTCAGAAGCAACAATTTTTTTTTGCAATGTGCCATTCTGAGGTTTTATGTGTCTATATCTTTATCAGAAAAAAATATATTATATATGTATGTATATATATACAGTCTTGAATTTAAATACAATCAGAAATAGCCAGCTTAAATAGCTTTACAAAAACATACTAAACATTATGTCATGTAAAGTGTAGTTTTTTTTCTAGAAATTGCCTGGTAAATTTTGATGTCTCTTTGTATTTAAGTATAGTTGGGGTACCCCTACATAAATAAATACCACAGCGGTGTCGGTATTGGTTCTTGAACCAAATTCCATACACCTTTGCCCATTCTCCTTTAATTTTCTATGAAGCCTCAAATATTTTAATCTATATAGTGTCATCGCAAAGAAAGTAACTTTTTTAGGCATCACTCTTCTAGATTTATAAATATAAATATTATTTTTAGATTGACAGTAAAAACTTTTCAAAAGAAGTTTACCAATACAAATCTACTCATTCCAGGTATCAGGATGAATTCAGCCTGCTTCTGGACCAACAACATTTTTTTTCATTGAATTTAATTCATACGGGTCACATCATGACCTCCTTTTTTGAAATCGTCTAACAAACTAAGAATTCGCGATAGACGTTTGAAAATAGTAAGTTATCGTTTGAGTACAACCTCACCACCATTGTTTATATTCCTCCTAGTTTAATATCTGTAAAGGAATAACAAATTTGTAAAAGGCAGGCGAGTCGAGTGAGTGCTGCTGACAAGATGACAGTTTTGACTCAAGCTTAAGTTAAGTAATCTTCCCGATCCAACTGTGGAAGTTACAAAGACTTTCTGAGAGAAAAGCTGTTGCAAACACAACCTTATACAATTGTCAATAAATCACAAACATTCCACTAGATTGGTAAGGAAAGACACGAAAGTAAAGAGATATAATTTTAATTTTACATTCTTATTTTTGTTGATTGAACAAACTATCGATCATTAGGTTGATGAATTATTATTAGTTTGCAGGTGTATTTTCCTTAGCTTATTAAAGAAAGAAAGAAAAAACATTTATTTACGGCATACATTACAATATTTGCACAATTACAATAAACACTCAATAAACATGAGACAAAAAGTACATCTTCGACTAAACCCCACCTCTGCATAGTGTTGCAACGGCAAATGGATTGCCGTTTATTGTTACTTATGAGATTAACTTTACATACTTTAAAAAGAAAACAGACACAAAAAGTGATTTGAGAAGAAAAATGGGCACTTTTTTGTCAGCTTGGATGGATCTGTCGCCTGAACTTGTTTTATTCTGAGCTTCATCATAATTTGTAAGAGCGAGGGTTACAAAAAAGATTTTAATGCCTTTAAGGGGTAAAAACATGTAATTCTTTTTTGTTTTATTGCTATCTCGCGAAATTGAAAACTCGAATTGAAAGTTTATATCTGAACTTATATTCCTGTAATAAAATTAAATGTTGATTTTAAATTAAATAACCATAAAATTGAATATCTCTGGCAAAGGAAATAATTTCATTTGTGGCTATGTGATTTCAAATAAAAAATAAACTATCTACGAAATTTTAAGAAGCTATTATGCTTTTTGATGTCATCTAAGTAAGATGAGGAGATTAAATATTGTGGGGAAAAAATCTGTTAATTCACCGCCAAGTAAACACGTCCACGGGGATATAAAGCAATGCAAATACACGCCTTGGTGCTTTTCCTCGGAACAAATTAATTTTCTTCCTAAATATTTGCTTTTAATAATTTATCATCGCGCGCTATAATCATGAAAGTAGGTCGCTTTTTATTAATGTAATGAAATGAGAAGTACTTAACTGATCTTTAATTATTTTACGCTTTCTAATCGAAATTCCTCTTATTTATTTTGTGGAGGAAGAGGTGTGAAATCCTCTTGGATACACTATAGCCGGCTGCAGTGTTATGTTAGACTCTTACTGATACAGATACCCATGGGAGGGACACCTATGACCATAAGGGTCTTGCAGGCTTCAGCTGATGCGATTAATATAGAAAGGGATAATGCAGCTAATCGATTTAGTATCAGCCTTCTTATGTCGCCAGTTCTGCTGGGGTACAAGCCTTACCATTCGATAGATACGGAAAATATTAGAGTAGGGAAGCACAAGCTGTGATTTTTGATTAACTCTAGCGTGGCAGAAAACAAAAAGGGGGCAACCTTACACCTTGTTAAGTATTCCCACCATACTTGAGCTCTCTATGTATGGCCGAACGTCTTGGGCAGCAAAAAATTTTTCAATACATGACCTTGTTTTTTTTGTCGCGTCCAAATCGACAGTTTTTTGAATAGGAGCTACTGAGGGTTTATGTACCATTCCTTCTCAATGTCTTTACGAGCTCGAATTTTTTTTTATATACTGCAGATAAATATTTTATTCGTTATCAGAAACGTGGCGTGAACCCTCCAGTAGCTTCTATTAAAAAAACTGATGATTTGGACGCAATTAAAAGACATGATCGTGTTTTGAAATGTTTTTTGCTGCCGTAGACTTACGGCCCTACCTAGAGTGCTCAGGTATGGTGGGAGTACTTCAGAAGGTGCAAGGTTTCCCTCTTACTTACTTTGCCGCGCTCGAGTAAATCCAAAAAATCCCCTATTTGGGCTTCCCTACCATTAAGTGATACACCTAAAATTTAGTTTCTGACTAAAACTAGTTTTTAAGACGTATGATTATAGAGTATGATTCTTTTCCTAGTGTCGTATTCATTTCATTCATTCACTGAGGTTGGTGAATTACACTGAAATAAAAAAAAAAACTATGCCGATGTTTCTCTATCTGTGTCTATCCTTGGCATCGTATAGTACATCGTACATGTCTTGTTATCTCTTCTAGTTAGGCACTCATCTAGTATTTAGATTCTTTCTCTCGCCATCCAATTAGGCTGTGCCTTCACAGCCATTTGCCATCAAACGTAATGTTGAGTTCTCGAAGGTAGTGGGAAAACATGGTAATGTTGAGTTCCCGAAGAAACAGACTTGATTGTAAGGAATGCATCAAGCATCTTTTTCAACTTCAAATGAGATTGCTCAGCTTCCATACATGTTTGGCCTAAAGACCAATAATCATGAAAAATTGTTTCCTAGATTCGAAATTATTGACGGACACCCCTGAGAACTTCTATAAACCATATACACTGAATGAGTTTGAGGTTATGTTTGCAAATAGGTATATAGATATTAAAATAATAAAAAACAAATAAGCTATATAGTAAATTAGGGAAATCAAGCCAAGTACCGATATTATGTATTAGATTCAGGTATATAGAGCATGTAGATTAACATATAGTTGCCTGTATTTAATGTTAATGCACAAGAGTATAAACAACTTCAATCAGTCTTTGGCTAAATGTTACTACACCCATAGCGATTAAAAATGATTCGTATGTTTTCCAACCCGGTAAAATTAAAAGTCCTTTTTAAAATGAATATATTATACAAAGGTGTCCGTTAAAATGTAATGACTATAAAATAAATTCTAAATTACGCTAAGAATTACTAGTCTACTATTGTATATGTCATTTTTTTGTACATTTGCGCCAATTTGAGCAATCTCCTTTCGAAGGCGCCAATACGATCACAATCTGCTTTAAGTAAAATCTGTCTCATATAGGTAAGCATGTTTACTTACTCATTCCCCCGAATTTGATTACCTATGGAATTCGTACGTGAATGGGGTCAGTCCTACGCCTCATTTCTTGATCTTTATATAACGGCCAACTTTGTGAGAATTGTTTCCGCATTCGTTGGTTGTACCACAAAAACACGAAATAACGTAGTTGATACTTCGGTAGTTTGTGTTATAGCACAAAAAAGTGGTCATGGTTTAATCAAAAGATATTTAAATGCATTGAACACCGCTTGACGGCTTTCCATACAACGTTTATTACCCATAACACAGATGTTGCAAGAATGTACGTGTCATGTAAAGCCTGAAGCGAAAGCCTCAAAGTAATTTTAGTATTAAAAATTAATATTTCACTTATGATCGATATATTGATGGAATGCCAAATAGAAATGTTTGAACTGTGTGTGCTATTCCGCTAATTAACAGCCCCTTAAAAATTATTGGGTTCATTTGTCAATGCAATCTGTACATAAACTTTTATATCATTGATTTAAAAAAAATAAAAATTAACACAGCAAATCATTTTTGGTAAAATAGAAAAGCAAACAACATTATTTCCATTGGCAATATTTTATATTTCAACTCATCAATTGCACTATTTAATATCTATACAAAATTAAACATAGTTTTGCTACACTTAGTGTATATAATTACGCCATGATTTACATTGAATTACAACATTTTTAAATACTGATAATTGCGATAACTTATATTAGTTACGAATGAGCGAAGCTGTTCTACATTGTCCCAGCTCTCAAAATGTATAACGCTTCGCTGAAATAGGTACTAATGTACTGAGTGGGATTACAATGGGCTGTGGGAATTGACTGCCTTGCACTTTCTATTTCAAATAACTGGATTGATTACAATTATAAATTCTGGTATAAAGTAGTTATCTTAAGTCAAAGGATTTTCGGAAAAATAGATCTTCTTTACCTAACCAACGTTTTTTTTAATTCAATCGTAACAAATCAAAGATAAATTAAACACAATCTCAATAAACTTTAACAGTTTTAATATTAAAGTTTATATCACGTTAATCTATAAGACATCAAAGTTTTCAATCAGTATAGATCTTGTTCACAGTCTACTGAAATGTCTCAATCAACATGTGAAAATACTATTACAATAGTGATTAAATCAGGAAGAGACAGTGATAAATATAATATTGACTAGAATATCATCTGCACATTGCAAAAAACTATCGCCCAACTCGCCGGTAATTTACCCAACTATAAATAATCACAGATCATGAAATGCAACAGTTTGGTTATCAGGAGGTTACTGGTAATGTAATAGTCGTACGTACAACATTTATAACGATCTAATTATGTACATAGCTTAGTACCGTAACATCTAAAGATTGACACTTGAGTATTTTTTTTATTTGATTAGATGCAAGAGTTTTGTGTGCTTGTACGGAGAATATTATAAACTATGTAGTTATATGTCGATATGTGTTCGGGTGATTTAATCTTGTCTGTCTTCTTCTGCGGAGCCTGCTTTCACTTCCTTGGGTAGGGCCGACTGCAAAAAATGTAAGTTAGGTGTAATCTTTTATTTTATGATAATTAACAAAAGACTTTTTAAGGCATAGCACAACGATGTTCAACAAAAAAGTTTATTTATATTTAACCTATGGTATAATTACAGACTGGAGTACACTTTCACCGTTGAGTCAGGAGGATCTTATTTTTCGACTGGATATATTTAACATGAAAACCTACAGTAAATATTATGTTTAACTTATTACCTGGCAAAATATTATTTAAGGAGGCAAATTTTAAATGAATTCCATTTAATATATGGACCGCAAGCCAGATTCAAAAATATAAAAATGCAATTATGCAAACATAACATAAAAATTCATGTTGTGCTTATGAGATTATTTTGTAGACAGACAACTCGACTACACTTTTTATAGGCATATAAAGGATAAGTATTTCGGATATTTTTTTATTAAAACAAAACATGCTTACTTCGTAGGGCATCAGGAACATGTTGTTGTCTGATCGGCGGCCGAACCGAAGCCTCATTGACGGAGCTCGAACGCTACGGTCTTGTTCCTGCGAACAAGCATTGAAGTCAACCAAACTCAAGGTATCATCTATCATCGTTCTATTAATGTCTCCACTACTGGAGTACAGGCCTTCCTTATGAAGGCCATAAAGAGAATAAGTCGGGGGCGTATTAACCCTAGGACCAAAAGGGCTATAGCACAGGGCGGCTGCAAGTTGTGGCAAGGGGCAACAGAAGCCATATGATGGCTTTCATTACTGACTTTTAGAATTTGAGTCACCCGGGGCGGCAGATATTAAAATAATAATAATAAATATTTCCAACACTCACACCAATTAGCCCAGCCCAAAGTAAGCACTGTAAGGCTTGTGTTATGGGATGCTAGGGTAACGGATAGAATACATATGCTGTACATATATAAGTATATTTATATAGAAATACATAATAATAATCCATGACTGGAGTACAAAATTGCGCCCTTGGAGTGGGCCATGACCCACAACGCGGGTCCAGGGAGGTCATTCTACTTCCTACTAATATTATAAATGTGTTACCATGGTTAACGCGGACGAAGTCGCGGGCAGCTGCTAAAATAATATATGTACTCATTACACATGCATATTTTAATTATGGTACATATATTCATTATATGATAGCAAAGTTAACAAATAAAGTAAGTGGAAAATGACATTGATTAGTGAGGGAGTGTACAGTTGCCAGCACAAATATATTATGAGACCGCGTCAATATTACGAATCTCCAGTGAGAATGCTAATCTGCTGTAAACTGCTTATTGCGAATCCGTTGTGAAACAGAGTTTTATTTTATGTGTCAATTTTCAAAATTCGAAGCTGACGCTATCTTCGTCATTTTAAATTGACGTGACTCAAATTGGTGTCAATCGTCAATTTTATTGCGGTTTATATGCGCCAGATTTAAATAATTTGTGACATCTATGTAGCGTACTTGGTGGGAGAAGGGGCCAAACTCATGAAGCTTCACACTTGCAGTGCTCTTAATTGAGTCACGATTGAAATTACGTTGAGTTTCAATGTGCAAGTTGCAGAAATTTTTGGTAAGGCAAGCAAGTCAAGTGATATATACTTTGGTTTGCTTTATATTTGGCTACATTTTTCATGGCATCTAGAGGGGGGCTGCCTCCCCCTCTTGGCGCAGTCCTAGCTAATCCTTCTATATCCATACTAATCTTAAATCCTCCATCCTCATTTAATAAATGCGAAAGTGGGTTTGTTTGTTTTGTGGTATAAGTGTGAAAGCGTAATAACGCTTGCACACCTATACCATTGAATCAATTATGCTAAATTATGGTGTTGAGGCTACTCGTATAGGCAACTTTTTGTCGTGAAAATAAAAATAGCGGGTGAAATTTTGTATGGGAAACTAATAAAACCAGGCAGACGAAGATGCTTGATTATAATAAGAGGCATAGCAGTTACACAAGTAAGTAAACATTTAACAATACAAAAGTGTCTTTGTATTTTCTTTAAATGTAGGTCCGATCTAATGACTCCAGCACAGCTGATGCTAAGTGGCGGTGGAGTCTTAGTGCGAAGATAGCTCGTTCACCAGTTTTATCTGCCACAACAGGTGTCCTCAATATGCCCGTCTGTTCCTTCATGCCCGTCTTAAAGTACCCCGGGTTATAAGAAGGAGGGAACACATGAGCGGGTAAAGCATTCCATTTGAGCTTTTGCTTGACATAGAAATAAGGCATCAATTTACTTCGGTCGCGTTGGAAAAGTGACCACAGTAAGTTGATGGCAAGATAGGTTAGCGCACGTGGTTCTAAAGGAAAAATAGGTGTGATAAGAGAGAATAACTACATAACCACATCAAGGCGAAACTATAGAGGTTTGATATTGTAAGTAGTAGTAAAACTATAGTTTTTTTTTATTAAGGGGTGGCAAACAAGCGTAGGTGCGCCGGATGGCAAACGGTCACCATGGCACCACGCTCGCGACAACAAAAATGACAAGGTTGCCTACCCCGACCCAATAATACCCTACCCCGCGGAGTTAAGAATAATACAGCTCCTATCTGAGTTTATCTAGACTCGTGCACGATTTGAAACATTTATTTGGCTTTAATACTAGGAAGGTATTTTCATGATGGATGTACTACAGCGACATGAAATCATGTTGGGGAGACAGGTCAACACATTATACATTTGTAAAAAAATATGTTTGAAACCTTCACATTGAGCCCTTTAATTTGATATGTAAAACAGTAAAGTTAGCTACATTTTATAATTAGATTCCGAGCAAATCGACTTTGTCAGACAGACAGAGATAAGGGTTCCGTTTTTGCGGTACGGAACCCTAATAAATTATGTTATATAGCATATTATACAAGTGTGAAAGAACAATTTTAAATCATGTGGACGTGTTGTATGGTAACAAAAGTCTTCCTACTTCATACATGTTTAAAGATGTCCTGAATGGGTGGTAAAAAAAAATATTGGATGATGCAAAAAGGCTTCCAATAAGTCAATTTAAGTAAAGTATAAATTAATTTTTAATCTGGACGCACCTTAATAATATAGGCTATGATTGGATTGCAGCCTCGCTCGTCCGTGCAAGTGGTGCTCTCTTACAAAATGTCATTCCATTTTGTCGTAAAATCGGTCAATTGTCGTAAAGCGAATAGTGACTTGTTAGGGCGAATAACTTCATTACAGGGTTTACACCGCATCAAGGATTTTACGATCGCGGCCATTGGGAGGCTCGGTGAGGTTCTATGGATTTCATATCAAACTACTGACCTTTCAATTGACATAGAGGAACTTTTGTTCATAGAATTAGACCAGCATGACTCTTTTGTTTCCCTTAACATTGTAATCAAAATATTGTTAAAACGTAAAAGTAGATATCCTTTTATATAAGCATACATAAAACATAGTTGTTTCTTAAAACATAATAATGTAAAAATAACATTAACTAAAGTTATGTGTGAAAAAATCTGTTCCAAATAGAGTCAATATTTTTCATTTAAATACCGTAAATTAGGAAATCTGTACCATATTATACAGATTTCCTAAACATAACAATTATATTATGCGTAATTACGATTCATTATTCATCATTATATAATACTGAATGTAGGTTTAATTTTTGTATGTAAACAATTTGCATAATGGCCCACCTGATTGTAAGCGGCCATAATTGTCTACGGATGCTTGTGACATAAAAGAATCACTTGTATTTGTACCCTGATAACATTTTCTTTGGCCTGATCCCACCATCTTCCCTGAAACATTACACACCGACAATTGCCGGCAATATGAGGATGGTTGGTGTGGCACTTTATCACTACTTAACATCAGGGGGGGTAGAGTCATTTGCTTACATGGCTATATAAAAAATAAATTGCCGACAAAATACCGACAAAGCCATCTATTTTTTTCTATTTTATAAACTCAATAAGCATCTAATGCATGATTGAGAGGAAAATGACCTTTATTATCATTCAATTTGGATACATTACTTATTCAAATACGATTTATATTCTGAATAAATTATTAAGTAGGTAGGTATGTTGTACATATACTGGAAAACACTGAGTGCTGTTTTATTTCTGTTTTCCATTACCGAAAGGTGCAATACCCTCTCTTACGAAAAAGGGAATTTCACTTTATACTTTTTTCATGTATTAACTTTCATTTACTTATTGTTTTTAAAGATAAAAGTAATTCCGTACCCACTTGTATTGTGATCGGTTCAAGTAGTTAAAAAAAATAGAAGATGATATAAAAAGGAAATTAAAACCAGTTTAATTTAGATACGCCTCGCACCGCGTGAGAAAATGAAACGGTCATCCTTAATAAAGGACTTTTTTATTGTTACTTTGTATACTTCCCAATTACTGACATCGATTTTTAAGAAAATAGCTCAAAATTAAATACTTTTATCTTTCCATGAACATTGTGAATTAAATTATAGATTTTCTAAATTATCAGAAGGGATTTCCACAAAGATTTGATTAAAACAAAGTCATGAACATGCATATAAAAATAGATGATTTTTATATTTATATTAAAAAGAATGTTTTAAGGACTTGTAATTAAAAAATTAAGGCCAGCAGCTACTTCTGCATAACATAATTGGTTGTCCATACAAACTTTGACCCCCTTACGGTTTATTTTTGCTACAAAAACAAGTGGAGCTCCGTCTCCAAATTCTCACTTTATATCTATAAAAAATATCATAATCTACTAAGAAATTTAAATAAAATACATGAAAGCGTAACAGATAGTAATATCTATTTATATTTATTAATAACGATGGAGAGTAAATTGTAATTTAATCGGGATTTCTATTATAGTTTTAGATTGTACCAATTATTAGGTATAGGATAAACCATTGCCTTTTTCCCGTACGTAGAATCATTAAAAAACCAAAATTTTTTACTTCTACACTGAAGGCAATTCTATCTATATTAATAATTATAAAAAAAAAACTTGTAAATTTTTTCTTTAGATTGAAACATAAAGCAGTTAAATGCTTAAAATTAAAATATAATAGGCTACAATTGCTATTTCTTTTTTCAAATGTTAAATACTTGTAAAGGTATTTCATCACATGACATCAATAACATTGTGGGTTAACTACAATGCGAAGAGATGGCGGTGCCTTGTAGACTAAGAAATACTAGAGTAAATATACAAAGCTGAAGCTTGATTTGATTGTTTGGTTAAGCGCACTAATTTCAGTAACTACTGATTTAAATTGAAACAATATTTTTGTGATAGATTTCCCATTTATCGAGGATGGTTATAGGCTGTATAAAATCATAATAAGACTAATAGGAGCGGAGCATCATTGAAAAATGTTGCGAAAACGGAAATAAAAAAATCCTATTCAGAGCTTTCGTTGCCTACGCTGCGTAAACGGTGAAAGTTACACAAAAACCACGTATAAAGAAAATATTCTTCTTTAAAAAATATAAAATAAGTCCGCTACCTACAGCATATGTCCATCAGTTAAGGTGGACTCACTATAAGCTTTCTTTGGTAATTAAAGTTGTTCTAAAATAATGCATTATCTGCGAAGGTGTTTTTACTGAATTACGCAAAAACTACTTAACGGATTTAGAAGAAATTTGGTGCACATATGTTTTATGACCTGGATTGAGACATAGGATGTGTCAGGATTCTTAGGGATTTTCAAAAAACTAAAGTTATCGTGGATGAAGTCGCTGGCGGCCGCTAGTAGAATATAAAACAATGAAAAGACAGCTTTTATTTCTTATTACTTCTTCTCGCATCTCCGGTCAAACTATTGTGGCTGCTTTTCACTAAAAATATTAAAACCGAACCTGAATTTCGATTTACTAATACCTAAATTATTATCAATACAACACAATACTGACTGAACACAAAATAGAAGCACAATAATGAGAAGACAAGGAAATTACTTACGGGTTTATTAATCGAATATTAACTTGTGGGATGAGCACAAATATTCATTTCCGAGTCATGGGCTGATTATGTTCTTATATTACGTACCTATTGATGTTATAGTTGTTTCTTTTCGCGCATGGCAGAAAACAAGACAAATAGGCTAGTTAGGAAGCAAAAAAGCTGGATTCGCTTTGGTTAAAAGCTGCCACAGTTTAAGATATCATAGGAAATGAGTTATGTATCTTAATCAGACATAATTAAGATATCACTTCCATAAAGTGGTGTGTGAAGCAGAACACTTAATTTCACTCTGTAAACATTAATCAAATTGGCCGAGAATTACATGGAACATTTAATGAGATATGAACTACGAGTGATTTTTCTACGATCTAGAGAGAACAAACAGTATTACAGTATTTAAACATAGAAAACAACCAGACGGACTGATGTAATTCTCTGATTAAAAGCGCGAATATTTACATAGAGTCAAATCAATTTATCAAAAGTTCTATTGTCTTTTGTTTGTACATACTAATAAAGTATAGGTTACAAAATCAAGCATTTAAGCTTTTGGAAACAGTACAGGGCAATCACGGCAAATTGCTGTGTATTCGTGTTATGAACTCAAGTCTCTTTTGATAAAATAAAGGATGAAAGGACGTTCACGTATTATTATTATAATTGTTCTACAAAAGCCTTTTTTCATCAAATGATTATATAGTTCTTATTTTTCATATTTCCAAAGGTTCGATAGTTTTTATGTGAATTAAATGTTAGATAAGATATGAAACGATTTAGTCAGATTAAAAAAGAAAATTGGTATTCGAGAACTGTGAATCAGTAAGCAGTAGCTGTGATATGTTCCTACACATAAGGCGAATATCCCACTGCGCGTCTGTGCTGCGCTCCGCTGCCAATTTTAATATTGGTTACAATCTGTTCACTTTGTATTAAAAACTCACAGACAAACGATTCGTCTGCGCGGGAGCACATCGAATCAGCGTTTTGAACATAAGTTTTAAGCATATCGCTAAACCCGGTGAAAGTAGGGCTACGATTGGCTAAGTATTCCCGCACAAGTCAACTATGGTATTTCATATCCCTCTAAGTCTTTCTATTACCAATAATCCCGATAATATTCAGCCGTCGTATCGGTGCTGTTATTCCGGGTGGTATAGCGTACGTTACTATATAGAACAATGCAATGGCGAAGGACGACAATCACAATGGCCGACGCGGGATGTGTTGCCAGTGTATTTTCTCAGTAGCTTTTTGTCTTTATTTACCTCTATATATAAAAATGAAACCATTTTCCCTTGGTTTCGCCTATGGAGCACCACTTTATGATCTTGCTATAACTTGTATAAAACGTTACCGGTTTCATTCATATATTTTTTTCATATTTAATAGAAGATTCTTACAAAAAAAATGTTTAGAAAGTTGTCCAAAACGAAGCTCAACGGGTACGAAGTCGCGGGCGGAAGCTAGTATAGTCATAATAATACTTTTTCCTAGTAAATCATAAAATGAAAATATTTTTTGTAAGAAGGTATAGCAAACTTTATAAAACGCGGTTATATGAAATGTAGATTACTATAAAAACCTAAGTAGGGAATCGCCGGAATCCTTCGCCAGTGAGAGATTCGCCTTAATATGTAAAAAGGGACAGGTATCACCCCAAGAGGTACACACCTCTTGCGGGAAAATGTGCGGGACAGCGTGTTCGTCGGAGCGGCGGCCATATCGCAAGCGTACAGGCGAGCGGGCGTCGCGTAAGGAGAGGAGTGCGTCCTGCTCCAGCGAGTCAGGGAGCGGCGCGGGTACCTCCTGCGGGAACACGTGCGGGGTCGCGTGCTCGTCGGAGCGCCGCCCGAAGCGCAGGCGCACCGGCGTCCTGCTCTCGCGCAGGGACAACAGCTCGTCCATTTCGTCCAACTGCAACAAAATATACTCATCAAAAAAGTCTAAGCAACATGTAGAGTTTTGAACGCTTTATTATATTATATTATTATATATATTACTAGCAAACCCGGCGAACTCCGTTTCGCCACCAGATGGCTTCGTTTTATGTAACATTTCGTTTGGTGATTAAAAGAAGTTTTTTTTTTTAATTTTTCCTGAATTTTCTTTGCTATAAACCTCACGGAGCCCGAGACCTTTCCAACGAATGCAAAACCGTGGAAATCGGTTCGTGCGTTCTGGAGTTATAGCGTCAGGAAGGAAAACCCGACTTATTTTTATATAGTAGATTATATTATATAATAATAACATATTTATTATTATGAAAACAAAACACAATCGGAATGTTTCTTTTTTTTAATCAGCCAATTATATTTCCGGGAATAAAGAAGATTGTATACCTATCTACTTAGCTAAGAAAAAAAATATATCAATTAATAAAACACAGTTTCTGTAAATGATGCGTGTTGCTTAGACTTTTTTGATGTGTGTATTTTAAGAGAGGTATGGCATAGCTAATGTGGAAGTAACCCTTGCAAAAGATCACAGCAAAAAAACAGTACTTTCAATTGGTTATGTGCTTCTGTAGATGAGTATGAGTCCAGGACTGCACGGTGAATATGTTATATTAATTTGTAAAAGCCAATCGTTACTGACTGACTGATCTATCAACGTAGAGCACAAACCACTAAACGGATTGCGCTGAAATTTTGGCACACATAGCTATTATAATGTAGGAGTGCGCTAAAAACAGGATTTCCAAAACTCATCCCCTAAAGGGGTTAAACGGGGTTCAAAATTTGTATGGAGCACCAACATCGCAAAGTTAATCCTTTAACTAAATAAGCAAATACCTGTTTCGGTCTACTGTCTATAAAGAAGTTTTGTAGATTTTATGAAGTGAAACTTCTTTACCCACGCTTGACTTGGGGGATAAGCTGGCGACTGCGTTACGCATTACGAAAAGTGTGTTCGGGCGAGGCGAAAGGCAAGAGAAAGCAGTGCGCGGGCACATTTTTCTCTCTTTCTCTTATAGCTAGTAAATGAAATATGTACATACATGTATATATTATACACATATTGTATATATATATTTATGTATGTAAAAACGAGTGTGCTTATATATTTATATATATATATATAAGCAAACTCGTTTCTTTTATTTACTGCGTTTGACATTAATTCATTCACTCATAAATGAAATATAAGGCGAGCGAAGTCGTGGGAAAAAGCTAGCATAATAAACGCAAAAGTGAGCTAAATAAATCTAAACCACTAAGACCTACACAGCCGCATAGTAACATCCTTTAATACATTGCGGGTATTGTGGGCGTATTGTGTATAATAAGGGACAGTCCCTTCCTTATGTGGGGGCTGTAGAAACTTTATAAAATTCAGTTATGCCCGTTGACTTACCGGCAAAGAGAAGGGTTACATGCTGTTGTTAAAGGACCGTATATCATATTAATTTCAAAGCGCGGGAGTCGAGTAATATATTCTAATTTAAGCAATAGCAAATAAATCGGTAATCCTCTTTGGCAAATTGAGTAGAACATAATTTTACATTTTCGAAATGCCTATCTAACAAATTTGCTATCCTTTTAAAACAAGATTTGGTCGGGAAGAGTGTGAGATGTGTCTTTGAAATGTTAGTCCTTTGTTAAGGGTTCTTCGTACCCAATAGGTGAAAAAGAAACTTTTTTAATAAGCCCTCAGTCCAGTATCTTAACCGATTTATTTTATACAGATTTTTTTTCTGTCGGTTTCAAAATAATAAAATACTTGTCGGCTTTTTCAGTCTCTCATAACGGATTAGCAGCTTATAAAGATATTTAATACGCAGCTGCCGCACATAATTTTCTAACAGGGGTAGGGCACAGCGGCTTTGCCGCTCGAATGTGAGCGCCCGTCACAACCGGGAAAGCAACCTCCATCTTACAAAAGACCACAGTAAAATAACACTACCCTTTGGTGGTATTGCACTACAGGAAAACTGTACTTCCAGGGCCTAAGAGGTGATACTTGATTTTTTTTTGTAGAAAAGGTCTCTCTCACAGTTTTTTTTCTGGCGCTTCACCGGCCGCTACCGCGGCACGCTCGCTTTGCTCGTGCGTTATGGTCACAACACTAACCTAACCTTACCTAGTGTGAAGTATCACCGCTTGGGCCTTGGAAGTACAGTTAAGCCTGGTGGTGAGTAGTGTTTCAGGTATCTTCAGTACGAATAAAGAACCTCCTACTTTTATATGAAATCCATTAAAACACAATAATATTTTCTATACGTTTCTTTTATTATTATCTTATATATAAAATTCTCGTGTCACAATGTTAGTTACGATACTCCTCCAAAACGGCCTGACCGATTTTTATGAAATTTTATATGCATATTCCGTGGGTCTGAGAATCGGCTAATATCTATCCTTCATAATTATCCTTAAGTGATAATGGTTGTCCACCTGTAACGTAGTGTTCTGAAACCTACAATGCGCCTTCGCGCCAAAATTCAAACTATTGGGTATTCTAACGTAGTGTTCTCATATGGGTTAGGAGGAATGTTATCCCAGGAAATTGATAGGACACTACGTTACATATTCCTAAAATTTTTTTTGGACAATATTTTTTTTATAGTGTGGTATAAAAAAATACGTACAACCCTAAATTCTACCACCTGTCCCTATTTTTACAGCGGTACGAAGTTCGCTGGATCAGCTAGTGAACTATAAATATGCATAAACAAAGTAAAACTACCATTTAGATTTTCCTAAATGAATATTTAAATATCACTCACTAGAGTTGAGTAGGTAATTAAATTAAGAGGGTTCCATGAACCGGGAAATTAAAACGTTTGGTAACAAACCATAAGCTTTCGAAAGAACAATAGAAATTCACTTATGGGTCGAGTTATGGATATTATACATTTCAAAGGGAAAACAGCTAAGCCATTTTCACGAGCACACCCTGGAGGGAGATTCAAATTGCTTTTTAGCTCGATGACAGAAAGGAGGAATCATCCTCTTGTACTAGCATTATCATGCATCATACACACGGACTGAAGTATTTAATGTGGGTTCTGTTTTACTTATAACCGACTTGAAACAGGAGGAGGTTTTGATACAATCAGTATATTTACATCAACTTACGCAATATGGCAGTAAATTTAATGTTCTTATGCTTACTAGTAGAATATCTAAATGTTTTTGTAGCATAGACACAGACAAACATTAGTACGAGGAAAAGACCAAGTTTATGTTCGACCTAATATAAAAAAACAGGTTTGTATGTATCTTCTTAAAAATTAATAAATGAAAAATATATAGTACAAACCCGGTACAAAGTACAAGTGAACTAATGACAGAGTGATTTTTCTGTGGTTTTTGTTTAAACCTCCTATGGTTCCTTATTCATTTAGGTAACTAATAATACCTAGTATGTTGTATTATCATTTCATAAACCAGACATATAAGCCTCATATTGCATGCGAGTTGTTTTAAGCACCTACGAAAATTTATGTGATATGTTACACCAGTTCATTGTCTTCTACTGTTTCAAAAACTACTTACACTCACGCCATATATCCGATGTTCGAGGTCGACAGAGTATTAAATAATCATGTGAAGAGAAAAAAAATATAAAAGGCAAATAAATAAGTACGAGTAAGGCCCAGTGGCATCAGTTCTTAATTCTAATTAAAGCTCATGTTAAACATTTCATTCCATCTCTGTCAATTAATAATAAATAAATAAATATTTCCAACGCTCACACCAATTCCTAGCCCCAAAGTAAGTACTGTAAGGCTTGTGTTATGGGATACTAGGATAACGGATAGAATACATATACTGATACATATCATATATAAGAATATTTTTATAGAAATACATATTAAACTTCCATGACTGGAGTACAAATGCTCGTATTCATCACACAAACATCTGCCCCCACCGGGATTTGAACCCGGGACATTTCGAGTCGGCGACATTATGAAACCCGGCGTACGAACCACTCGGCCACGGTGGTAGTCAAATAAGTCAATTGTATAAAAAGCGGTAGAATATGGCTTAAACAAGAACTTAGTGCAAGTGGGCCTAAGAGTCACACTTCAGCCGCGTTCGACATTAAGATGTCGCCTAAAACAATAGCGATTGAACTGTCGCTATATAAAAAAACATAAATTATTACGTAAAATAATAATAATGATTTCTATCCAAAATTTCACAACAATTTTATAGAGTTCTAGCCACCACACTAGGTTAAGCCTGTTCTGTGGGAGGAGGATATTGATACATCACACTAATATTATAAAGGCGAAAGTTTATATGTGTGTATGTTTGTTACTTCATCACATCTAAACGGCTGGAGTGATTTTAATAAAATTTGGTTTGAAGTTAGCTACACCCTGGATTAACACATAGACTACGTTTTACTGCGGGAAAATATCTCTAATAAACCGCGAGTAACATCGCGGGGCACAGCTAGTAATAGATAAATGTGACTAAACAGGAGAGTTGATTTACAGAATACATTTAAAATCCATACATTTTGTGGGTGTGTGTGTGTGTGTGTGTGTACTTTTACTATCTGGAAAACTAGCAGCTGACGCAACCTGTTTCCCTTTTATTCCCAAACCAGCAGTGAATAACTCACCAGTTAAAAACAAACTATCCACAGAATTATGTAGTCAATCACCATCAGTAGCTAGATTGGTATTTAGAACATTTATCATTCCGATAAGTATCTACATTAAGTCACATGTTGTGTTATTCTGCTGTCTTCACAAAGAAAATGAGTTGGTTACTGTCACTAAGTGCGACTGCTCTAATTATATCCCTTTAGTTCTAAAAGTGTTTTATCCAAATTGAACTAGCAAAGTTATCCAAGTCACCGGTATTCAGCATTATGAAACTTTGTAATGTCCGTCTGAAACTGTTACAGTGATGATCTAACAATACTGAAATATTCAATCGTGGAAACTGTTATCTCTCAAAACTTATCAAGTTATCCCTTCTAAGCGAATTATAAGTTCCACAATGGTATCGAGTTAGGAGTAATGGGTTACGTACGACCGCTTTTACATACTCTTACATTTGCAAACCCGAACGGAGCTTTGATGTGATAATAAATGGTTTTATGTCATTTCAATAATATAAGGAAAATAATTGAAAAGAAAGATTATCTTGATTAAAAAAACTGATATCTCTTTCAGGAGGACGGTAACGTATTATTAACATTGATTAAATCTTCGTCAACGTAGAATATTAATGGTAAGGTATAAAATGAAAATGGGATGGCATAGGCCTATCCTATTAAATTTTTATTTAATTTTTATATTAAATCACGGAATTAACCGTCAAGGTAAGCGCTATAAGTCTGTAAGGATAAGGGTTCGTACAGTGTGACATCAGGGAATATTGCGACTCTGTCGCACTTATCGAAGTGACATAGAACTACAATGAATCAATCAACCTTCAGTACATAGCATAAACTCTTATTTCGACTGTTTTTTTTTCCAAATACTTATTTCCAACGCTTATCATATTATATAATTATGGCCCGTGTTATCTTTACTCAATTATTACCATAGCAAAGATAGAAGGTGTATGTAAAATACGCTTGTTTAAAGTCTTTCTACTCCTAAGCATTACACATAGCAATTTTGATTGACGTTTGTTGCTTTGTCTATAGAACTTTCACACCAGATAAACATCCTCTTGCGAATCTTAAGTAAGCAAGACAGATATAAAAACGTCAAGTATTTTATTGCTGATGCCCATGATGGAAGTAGTAGTTGCCGAAACATTGGCGGCCGAAGGTGGTTGAATGTTCGTTAAAGTAAATAATTTGAGCAGTATGTAGCGGTTCACCCACATGATATTACGCTCTTTGGGTAGCGATCATAGCAAGTAAGTAGTTTAAGTCTTTCATACACTAGAAAATTTGTCGCAACGAGTCGCGAGCTCTATCCTGCACGAGACCTTTGTTTTGTAACATAAAATGCTTTTGGTAAACCTTTTCACTTTAAAGCATATACAGTTAAGTACTTGAAAGTGTTTTCTCAAAGTTTTCAGGGCTTTGGTCAATTAGCGTCAATTAGCAGGATAAACATTCACAATTTATCATTTGGAATGGCCGCAATTATATCGCGGCAAACGACAGTCTTTCGTTTTGTTATTTTGTTTTCCTTTGAAAGAACCAAATCGGATGATTTATTATTTAAATATTATAATAATTAATGGTTAAAGTGTACTTAATATTTTTTTAAACAAAGCCGTTTCTTTTCTTTTGAAATAAGTAAGGAAATAATGTAATTAATGGTTTACCCAATTTTGTTTACTATTAAAATTATGATAATCAACAGGATTAGGAAGGACCAGAATTAAAAGAAACCTCGTAAGCAGTCATTAAGAACCTAGTACTCGTGAAATCGAGAAACCAATATAAATCTCCCACGTAAAAGTATACTATCTAAAATAAAAATATATAAATTTCAATCAAATAATTTTGCTTTTATTTCCTCGTAGGTCTAGTATAAAGCACTATGTATCCCTCGAAAGAAAGTGCTATTCCCAACTCGGGGCGCTATGGTCCTCAAATTACACCCTCGTTGGTAATCGGTCACTTTCTCCCCTTCGGTGAACAATGTTCTATTTTTTACCTCATGAGGTACGTTGCAAAAAAATCGGGTATTTCTTCTACCCAACTGATGTTATGACGTGTCCCGTGAGTGGAGTCCCGTACCAAAGATAGGTACCACCGTTACTTTTCTGGCCTGAACTCAATTCCCCTTTCCTGTCATGCTCTGGTAATCACTGTTGGAATACAACACTACGAAACATTTTTATTGGGGCTGTAGCTATCGTTAAAGCGTAGGCTACTTTAAAAAACAAGCTCCAAACGGAAGGGGCCACTCCGCTGTGGCCTACCTTTCTTAAATGAAACCAATTTGAATGGATGTATTTTACCAGGTAGACAATATTTTCGATGAATAACATTGACCTTGCAATATAACAACTGCGTTCGTAACTTGCGTTTATACGTAGGCAAGTATAACGTAAAGATGATAAATGAGTTGATTTGTCAATTATAGAATATCTTCTATGTAAAAAATATTTTAGCCATGTGAAGGAAAAAAAAAGAAATTATTTTTACCCGACTGCGCAATGCAAGAGCGCAGACAGGGTATAGTGTTTAATAGTATATTTAAATGTATATGTATGTATGTATGTTCCTTTGTGGCACACTAGAGACCAAACCACACACCGACAGACAGAAATAGAATGGATTTTAATGAAACTTAACAATAATATAGCTCATACATAATTATTACATCAGTTTGTAATATATGTATAAGTGTCACGTTACACAGATTTTTTTTTTCGGAATTACTCACAATAAAATAGTGATATAGTTCCTTCTTATTAAATAATGAAAAATAAATGATCATAATAGGTACATACCTATTTATGTTTGTACTGTTTAAAGTTTACCTAAACGATATTACTTTATGTTACTAAAGGGTTACTTAACATAACGAGAAATAGCCAATTTTTATGATGACCTCCGTGGCCGAGTGGTTTGTACGTCGGGTTTCATGGTGTCGCCGACTCGAGAGGTTCCCGGGTTCGAATCCCGGTGGGGGCAGATGTTTGTGTGATGAATACGAGCATTTGTACTCCAATCATGGATGTTTAATATGTATTTCTATATAAATATGTACAGTATATGTATTCTATCCGTTACCCTAGTATCCCATAACACAAGCCTTACAGTGCTTACTTTGGAGCTAGGCTAATTGGTGTGAGTGTTAGAAATATTTATTATTTTTATTAATTTTTCGCTAGCAGGTATACCTATATATGCTTAATGAACTCCCTCATATAAACTTAATAAACTCCCTGTCTTTATTATTTAGCTCGCCATAATGTTGGTTTTGTAAACGATAAACGATAATTCTGCAAAATTTGAAGCAGTTAATATAAAGGTTTATAGGTAAATCACCTCTTCCATCACCCCTATATGTATTTCGATTAATGTAGCTTAGAACGAAGGTCCCATTTAGTTCTGTAGGGAAATTCATCATAATCGAAAGTGCACGAAAGCGTCACAAACAAACTCACTTTCGCATATATAGTATTATATTATACTAGTGATCCGTCCTGGCATTGCACGGGCGAAATTTATTTTAACGGAAAAAATATAGCTTATGTCACTCAGATATAATACAGTTAAGAAGAAAATTTTTGCTAAAAGTTTCCTCTCGCAGAAGTAGACTGAGTGGAATTTTTTAAGTAAAAGTTTTCTCTAGATTTATAATAAGAGCAGATTAATCAACGATATTGATATTAAAGCTTTAAAATATAATAAATAATGTAGCTACCTTATGGTGAATGAATTTTCGAAATTGGTTCAGTAGTTTGAGAGATTATTTGTTACAAACATACAATTAGTTTAATGCCTCATTAAATGATATGTACCAAAAAAGATCTTCAGATATACCAATCTAATGTTTATTTTTTTTTTGGAAAATGTACGGTAATCTAATCTAAAAATAAAAAAAAATGTGTGTGCCAGCTCCGACGCACGACCGGAGTTTACACTCTAAAAACGATTGTCTTTGAACAGACACAAAACAAAATAAAGTCCGAAGAAGTCGGTTACAAGTAGAGATACCTCAGGAATCGTCCCATGGTTTCGACTATCATAGGTTCCATGTCACACATTTTATCATCTAACATCAGCGATATTCATCATATATTTTATTATGTATTTCTGGAAACACACAATTTCAAAAATATCACACACTAGTCATCATTTTGTAAATATGTATTATAATTCCATCTGTACTGAAAATCGCTATTCCAGAGTGCTGGACACTTACGGGCATTTCTCTATATTCTGTTATTTATTTGTTTTCATTAATTTTGCTCCGATTTTATCTATTTTTAGTTTATTTATTTTATTGACATTTGTGACAACTTAATGTTTTTTATCCGTTGCCATGGCTAAAAGTGAAAGGTGCGCAGATGAGGTTGCGCATAAAAAAGTAACGAGGTCATTAATGTCATTCATCGATAGATTTTACTCCTCACATATTTCTCATACCGGGCCCCTTATATATGCAAATCGATTCTTAAGGAGTAAACTCCAAAAAAGCTATCACTCGTGCCGTTGTGTACACCGATAGAATCCCTTATCCCGTGGAGCCCTGGTACCTTACTCACCTACAGAAACACAAAAGCCACCAAAATGTAGTATAATTTTACTGTGGTCTTCTGTATAGTGGAACTTAATTCGACGAACAGGCACTCCAATACGACTGGAAAATCCGCTACTCTTAAAAATCTTATAATCGTAAATAAAGATCAATCAGCCTTAGTCAAATTAAAACTAAAAAAATGTAAAAAAATAGTAGATTTCACGGTTTAAGTATTTGCTGGTGACTGTAAATGTTTATTAAGTTTAATTTTAATTTTTATAACACTAATTTCCGTTACTTTTCAATATTTCTTGTCATTTAACCGAATAACGATATAATTTGAATGTAATGTTTTTAATTTTAGTTTTATTTTATATTTTACTACTAATTATATTACATCATCAATCCAAGCTTTTCACATAGTGTGATTTTGTTCTGCGATATTTTTGCATAACAGTGCTTTTGTGTAACATCTATAATTAAGATTGCACATTGTTTGTAAGATAGTTTATAATGAGTTGGTGTTAATCTTGTTGTAATGTGTAAATGTAATGTAATGTTAATAAATAAAACTGATTTCTCTGACTGCGGTTGTTAGAATTAATGAAAATATATACTTACAGGAGTTTGTGGTGGCATATCAGGATCCGACCGCCGGCCGAAGCGCAGCCGTCGGGACGGTGATCTCACAGACTTGCGGGCTAACGCGTGTCCACCTAGCGCGTCGTGCTGGGCCAAGAGCGCGTACAGGCCCCCAAATGCGTCCCAGTTGTTCCTACTGTCCGCTGACGCTGACGCTGCAAATACAAACAACGATGTTCAGGTTTGAAGTGAAACTTCTATACAGACGGGGGGTACTAGTATTTTGCTTTCACGAAAAAGCATTACGGCCGCGTGGACGGGGTAGACGATATATTGCGCGGTGAGACGTGGCTGCGGCGGAGGGAAAGTCAGGCTAGTGGCGACGGAGAGAGGGCAAGGAAAAGGGGGGCAGGTATTTTCCGTAAAGTTTCACTTCTACTATGTGTCCAAGTACATATTTTTTAACATTTTTATGTTAAACAGGTGGCAAACAAGGAGGCCACCATAGCATATAGACGCTTGCGATACAAAAATACCACTCACACCATTGCCTACCTTGACCCAATCCCCTATCCCGTGGAGCCTTGGAACCTTACTCATCAACAGAAACACAACACCACTAAAAGGTCAGTAGGTATAAAAGGTCACTGCCAATTTGCAAAATAAATAAAATATTAAATTTCTTTGCTTCGGGTGCAATCGGGTAAAAAGGGTGGATTTTTTTTATATATAGCCAGGTAGGCAAATGACTCTACCCCACCTGATGTTAAGTGGTGATAAAGTCCAAAGGCGAAGATAGCTGGAGCAGCAGCTATAAACTGCCACACTAAACATCCTCACCTTTTGTTTTTTTTTTTGTCTGGGAAATGCCTTACGCATCCTTCAACCACCGGGGGACCGAAAAGAAGGTATGTGGGACTCCTACCTGCTCATTACAGCCCTTGGGCCGGTTGAAATGAGCAGGGCCCTACCTAACGGCCTGAATAGGGCTTCTAAAAACCAGACAATACTCCTGCACCGGTCACCCGGCGTACATTCTGAGGACCGCAGTCCCCCCAATGCATTCCGGGAGTGCGGGTGTGGTCGCGGCAACAGTTGCCGACTATCCGCGCACCCTCAAGGTGATTGTCCGCGAACGGACCCACCCCGATGAAGATGCCCCGGAGTATTAGGGGCATCAACATCCAGAGAACTTGTGCAATGCGGGCCAGTCCCCCTCCCAGGGCAGACCCACGGCTCTCACAGGAGTGGGAAGGAGAGCGTAGTTCTCTCCGTCCCTCTCCCGCCCCCCTTGGCCCTAAGAAGGGCCGTTTGAGCATCTACCGCCAATCGCAATGATTAGACTCACTGTGGGGTGATGCTCCTACCCTGGTCCTGAAAAGGACCGTTGACTAACCATCCTCACCTTGCCGGCCTGCAAAAATGGTTCTTCACGCCTCTCTTAAAGAACAAGCGTATTGCCATAATTTAAAATTAAAGGAGATTGCTCAAATTGGCCCAAATGCACAAAAAATATTGACATATACGGTAATTCCTGGCATAATTTATAGTTTAATTTACAGTCATTGGATTTCAACGGACACCTTTGTATAATATATTCATTTTAAAAAGGAGTTTTAATTTTACCGGTTTGGAAAACATACGAATCATTTTTAATGGCTATGGGTGTAGTAACGTTCAGCTAAAGACTGATCGAAGTTGTTTAAATAACATAAAAACAAATCTATTTTGTAAATATCGATAAAATAAATGATTTTTTTTATTACACTGTGGTATTAATATCCACAACTATATTATCATTTTCAGTACATGCAAATGTGCTAAGACAAATAAATAAATAAAATTATGAGGGGTGATACACTAAAAATCTAAAATATGGTTATAATATAAACATAACAAAAATAATGAAGCTACTTAAGTTAAGTCTGTATAACCTAAATCTCTTAGCTTTCTTTGATTAACGAGAGTTTAAAAATTCTCTCTAATCTGTGGCTCATTCACAATCATCACACAGTTTCTGTCACAGAGTACCTTATTATAACCGGAAATGCATAGATGACACCTGATTTTAAAAGTTACTCTTGTGCATTAACTTTAAAAACAGGTAACTATCTGTTAATCTACATGCTCTATATACCTGAATCTAATACATAATTTCGGTACTTGGCTTGATTTCCCTAGTTTACTATATAACTTATTTGTTTTTTATTATTTGAATACCTATAACATAACCTCGAAATTGTTCAGTGTATATGGTTTATAAAAGTTCTCAGGGGTGTCCGTCAATAACATTCGTTTCTACAGTTATTTATAAATAATTTCGAATCTAGGAAACAATTATTCATGATTATTGGTCTTTAGGCCAAACATGTATGGAAGCTGAGCAATCTCCTTTATCTTGACAAAAATTCTATATTTCAAAGTTTAGTATTTTTTTACTCGTGATTTGTGAAGTTGGTTTTCAGTATTGCTTTACAAGTTTTTTTTTAATTCTGCTCTTATTATATAGACATGTGGGCTAACGCGTGGACGCTCAGCTGCGGATACTAAAACGATATTCAGTTCAGGTGGATCAACGATCTAATGAAGGTCGCGAGAAGTCGCTGGATGTGGACAGCATTGGACCAATCAACGTGGAGATCTTCTACGGCCTGGGTTCCGAACCTGGGGGTAATTACCCCTCCGGGGGTAAATCGGCCATACTTCGGGGGTAACATCTTTGTCACCTAATTATTGGGTCAAATCTAAATAATATGAAAATACTATACAATAATACTACTAAATAGAGCATGCGCTTCTTCTTGCTAGCGAGCCCGCGGGGTGCTGAGTGTGGTAAGCGGGGCGACATTTTCTCCTGATGATGACATTATTAGAGACGAAGATGTAGCGGTCAAATTGGAATTTCTTGGACTGATGATAATATTTTAAAGTCGAGGTAAAATCTGTTTTCCTAATAGGTTACAAGGGTAGCAGTATTGGAAAGGTTAGGAAACACTGTTCTAGGGAGACCTATGCTCAGCAGTGGCCGTCGTAAGGTTGAATGACGTTGATTAGAATTTTTATTCCGCAAAAAAAAATAGGTTCCTATAGGTTTTAAAAAAGAACTAATATAATGGTCTATATCTCACATTCGGTCACATCACTCAATACATTACTCTAAAGCGCGTAAAAATCAACGCATTTCTTCCTACGTACGAACCTTCGGGTTTTGAGAAACCCCGCGTTAATTTTTACTCTCTTTAGAGTAAAACTATCGAGTAATACCTTATCCCCCTTACTAATTAACGAAGAATAAGCTCTGATTAGTTACTCCATGTTTTGAGAGCCATTGAATGAAAAATGGCATTCGAGTGATGTGAACAAAATATGGCGTAACTAGTCTAAGCTTATTCCCCGTTTACTAGGGATGATGACTAATTTCTTTTTCCTTCGTTTATCAGGTAGGTTATCAAAAAGTATTGGACGCGTATTTTTTCTTTTTTCACATAATATAAACATTGCAGATATATTGATTTGAAAAGTCGCATGACGTCACGTTTTGGTACACTTTAAGTGAAAAATCACTAAAAAATGACGTCACGAGCCCCTATTCCCAAACTTTGACGCGCTATAACTTTTTCATTTTTTGGTTGATTGCCCAAAGAAAAAAAATGTGTTATGTTTTTATTTATTTTTAAGCATTTAACTGCTAGATGTTTAAATCTAAAGATTTTTTTTCTAGTAAACTTTTCTTTAGAATTAAAAAAATATGTGTCCATTATTTTTTGATCATCTAACTGACGGACTAAATAGAATTTCGTTTACTGTACCCCGTCATCACCCCTTTTATAAGGGGGTATGTGACTACGAACCATTACGGACAAAAAAGGAAGATTAAAGGACCATTAAGGAAATGAAGTCGCGGGTAGAAGTTAGTGTTAGTATAATACCAAAACCTTTTTCTATAAATATGAGCAAAAACCCCTTATTAAAGAATAGGAGTGGAGAAATCTGCTAACTTTTCGACGTTGATAATAATAAAATTCCAGGTTGATATGGGACTTCGCATTGTTACCGGATAATATGTCAGACCCAAACCAAGCTACTCAGTCTGGTCAACGATATAGTCCTTTGTGTAGTATTATTTATTGTACAATATTCATTTCGGGTTGATGGCGCGGCTTTTAATACCCTATAGTATAACAGGCACTTATTAACAAAGAATGTATAATAAAAAAAAATACGTGTGGGAAACTGCCGCGGTAAAGCTACTGCATTGCACTTTTTATCAACTTAAGCAAATATAATTATTTATAAACTAGCGGCCGCCCGCGACTTCGTACGCGTGGAGTTAGTTATTTGCACATACTTTTTAACCCCAAAAGGGGGTTTATTTCTAATGATACATTATTAGTACACTTCTACAACATCTATAGAGCATACATGTTAAATTTCAAGTCTCTTACTTCAAAAACATAAGACTTTTATACAAACTGCAAACCCCCGTATTACCCCCTTAGGGTTGGAGTTTCGTGATAATATTTAGCCTATATGTTGACCCGACTTCTTAATAATATTCGTGCCAAATTTGAAGTAAATCCATGAAGTACTTTTTTAGTTTATCCCGGACATACATACAGACAAACAGACAAAAATACTAAAATCTATATTTTTGTTTTAGGTATCGGTTGTAGATCACACCCCAAGTATTCTTTTAAAAAAATATTCAATGTACAGTTTTGACTTACCTACCGTTTTATTATATGTGTATGTATAGATTTTATTAAAGCAGTACTTTGTTTATTTATATTTACGCGTACAGCTATTCACATTCATCTATGATTCTTCTTATACCTGCATGCAAAGTCTCAGCCCGATCGGTTTAAAATTGAGAAAGTTCCATACAAACTTTCATTCCCTATTTATCTCCTTGGGGGTAGAATTGATCAAAATCCTTTCTTAGCGGATGCCTACGTCATAAAATCTACCTGCATGCCAAATTTCAGCCCGATCCGTCCAGCGGTTTGGGCTGTGCGTTGATAGATCACTATGTCAATCAGTCACCTTTGAGTTATATATATATATATATAGATTGGGCATAGCGGATTTTCCGCTCAAATGGGAGCGCCGCCGTCAGGGAATGTAACCTCCACCTTACAGCAGACCACAGCAAAATAAAACTACCTTTTGGTGGTGTAGTGTTTTTGTCGGGTGAGTAAGGTTTTAGGGCTCCACG